ATTTTTGGCATCGTGGCTATTGTTCTGTTCTTCCTGAACGAGTGGAAGCTAGCCAAATACCCCGTCATCCCTCTTCGGCTCTTCAAGAACTATTCCAACCTCGCAGCTTTGGGGGTCTGCTTCATCCACGGTTTCGTCTTCATTGCTGGGAGCTACTATCTCCCGTTTTACTTTCAGACCGTGCTTGGCGCCAGCCCTCTCCTCTCCGGAGTATATCTTCTCACAATGGTGCTCACGTTGTCCTTTGTTTCGACGGCAACGGGCCTCTATGTCAAAAAGACAGGCCGATTTCGCGATCCCATCTGGCTTGGGCTCTGCGTAATGACTCTCGGATACGGATTGTTTATCGACTTGCCTGCGAGCCCAGATTGGGCCAAGATCATTATATACCAGATCATTGCAGGTATCGGGGTGGGCCCGAATTTCCAATCCCCCTTGATTGCATTGCAAGCTCACATCAAGGGTCACGACATGGCTGTGGCAACAGCGACCTTTGGGTTCATCCGCAACCTGTCCACTTCCATCTCGGTCGTATTGGGCGGTGTAGTCTTCACCAATGAACTCTCCAAGAAGTACGGTGGCCTCGTCCCTGTCCTAGGACCAGAGCGTGCGAGGCTACTGACTTCCTCCTCGTTTGGTGCCACAACCTCCATCGTGCGCAGCCTTCATGGACCGGCTCGCCACGCCGTTGACAAAGCATACACTGACTCGTTGAGGACGATGTGGATCTTCTACACGTGTTTCGCGGCGTTTGGGATCGTGGTGAGCCTTTTCATCAAGAAGAAGGAGCTCAGCAGCACGCACGAGAAGGCGAGAACGGGCATTGAGGAACAAGAGAGGGTGAGACAGGAGCTGTTGCGGGAGAGGCAAGAGAAGCAGAGGAGTAGGAGGGGCACTTTGGAACGGGACGTCGAAAAAGCGAGCCCAGTGCCCGCCAGCACAGCGCGAGAACATGATGGATAAACAACCGCACAAAAAGAATCGATTGGGAAAGAGGTCATTAACATTGGGACATGAGACAGTCAGTGGAAGGGAAAAAACCATGGCCAGCTCCTTTTTTGCTTGTTTAATGTTTGGGGCCTTTGGTAACTTTAGAGAGACATTATTGAGCGGGCGGCGTTGGCTTTGTGAGCGGATTGGATACCTGCATACCTGCATACTTGCCTCACATACATACATACATTCATTACATACACAGCTACCTATGTACCTACCTGCCTGCCCATCTGAGTCTATGCACGCTAGGTACCTATGTGGTGTTACTTGTCGTGGTTGTTGGTGTTATCTATGACTATGACTATGACCATGATCATGACTATATAGCCCGACTGGATTGTCTGTCCGTGGCAAAAAGGGGCAGAGACAACCTGGTTGACCACTTCTTCACGACCCGACTTTTGGTCTCTTTTTTTTTCTCCTTCTTCCTTTGGCAGAGACAAGTGAGCCTCTCTCTGTGTGTATGTGTGCCTCTGTCACTGACTCTGACTCTGCGTTGTGTTCGCGATTGTGTCTGTATCTGTGTATTTTGGCTGCCGAGAACCAATCCAGTACCTCGGACTCGAAGCTGGAGAGCTCCCCCCCTCCCCCCCTCCTCCACCCTATGAGATCAGATCGTCAAGAGAACAGGAGTGATTTGATTTTGTTTTGATTTTGGGGGGAATTCCTGGTTGCTCACTCGAGTCGTCTCCATTTGCGTGCCCCGTTCGCTGGTCTCTGGTCCCTGAGCCAAGGGAAGACAAAACGTGCTATGCACAAGGTGCCAGCGGACATGTCATCGGATTGAGAAGTGTTCAAGTGCTGCTTGAGGTTTGTTGGCAATGACTGGCCTTCTTAACGCGTCGATGACTCTAACTGAAGAGCTCACTCAACCGCTTAGTCTCGTTGGCCATGTCCACTGGTTTATTGATCCAGTCGAGGGCCTTGGTGCAGCTATGTTACCATGATGGAAGATGGCGGTGGGGGAGAGGCCTAGTCCGCATGCTGGACCAGCTAATTCATGCCGACAGCATTGGTGCCACTGTCGAACAGGGGAGGCAATCGTCGGCAGACAGCCACGACATTGTATAGTGATCACTGATGCTCGATGCGTTGACCACAGCAGCAGCTGCTCCCACCCCCTTCACCTTCTGTCTCGTTTGCTTCTCCATCTTCCTGCCTTTCCACCTCTGCCACCCTTCCAGCCGTAGTCTTTGCGAGAGTCTTCCTCTCTCTTGTCCATTTCCGCGGCCCTTTCTCTTCTGTGTGCATCTGCGTCCTTCTCTGCTGCAGCCGCAGCCGCCGCCGCAGGACCACTTTTCAGATGAACCCCAAATTTGCACTCTTTCCCGTCCGGACAGAATCCCGCCAGATAGAACTCGCACAGCTTTCTCCTCACGTGTCGGTTTGGACATCTAGGGCCCTTCTCGCAGAAACCCTTGTTGTAGTCTTCACACATGGGCAGCTTGGAACCCTCCTTGACGTGTACGTAGAGACACTCGTCGCCGTTCTGACAATACCCGTTTTGATTGTAAAACTGGCATTCGCTCATTTTTCGCAAATTATACTCGTGGAGGTAGTCGCAAGCGTCGCCCTTCTTGCAAAGACCCTTGAGCCAGTGTTTACAGACATAGTTATCATTGGCGTGGCGACCGTAGTGATGCTGCTGGGAATGAGGTGCCTGCGCCTGTGTGGGGGTGGGATGGCGGTCGGGACAGCGGCGTCCGCGGGGACAGTGGCCTGTACTGGCGAAGTCAGGACAGACGGGCACGGTAGATGCGAGAGCGGCGAGACCGTTACTGCGGAGAAAAGGTGTAAAGCTGAAATTGTACGTTGGTTGCGCCGAAGGGGGATTCTTGGGGAGGGTCGCGTCTTGCACGGTTGGTGTCGATGAGGCCACGGACGCCATGGCTGGTTGCTGAGAAGGTTCACTCGAGGAGGGACTGCAGTGGGAGGCGATGGACCTCCTTGGCCGTCAAGCTCAAGGCACAAGGAATCAAGTTGACGGTGGGTAATGTGCTTGTAGCTTCTTAATAATACAAATGCCTGATGGCAGTGGTATCTTCTGGTATGTCTCGTGCGTAGTTCCGAAGTATTACCGAGACTTGCTCGCCGTGTCACCAGTCACTTGTCTCCCCAGTACAAAGATGTAATTAAATGGTCGGGACTGAGAACTCGAAAAGGAAATTGTCGTCGAGGGGAAAATGTATCCCGATCCATTCACTCTTTCTACCACTGCCGATAGACTGACTTGACTGATTGGGACACGTTCACATCGGCCCCTCTTCCACAGCTCTTCCGCAATCCACCTGATTCCTCCTTGTTCCTCGACGGTGCCTCTTCCGGGTGAGATTGCAGACTCCCGGGTTGTCCCCCTTTTGACCTACGAGTACCTTGTAGCTCTTACTGCTCGCTGTTTATCCTCTGACAGATCGGCTCCTCGCTCTTCTGTTCCGCATCTGCCACCTGCGGGGCACTTTTTTCCCTATTCTCCAATGCTTCTCTCCCCCTCCTTGCGGTGGCCCCCCACGTCATTTTCTCGTAGGGAAAACATGCTCTACAAAAACATTTCTCTACGTCCATTGTCGTGTTCTCACTCTTCCCAGAAGTAAAAGTTCTGGTATCACCGCGTTGCAGCATCATGTCGGTCACCACTCAAGCCACAATTGCCAGCTTCGGTGGGAAGCTCCTCAAGCTCGCTCACAATGCCTCCACCACTGGCTGCGAAATGAAGTTCAACCTTTACCTTCCTCCTCAAGCCGCAAACAACAAAGTTCCTCTGCTCATATGGCTCTCTGGGCTCACATGTACCGGTGACAACTGCTCTGAAAAGGGTTTCTTCCAACACGGCGCCAGCAAGAAGGGTATCGCTGTGTTGTATCCTGACACCAGCCCAAGTAGGTCACACACTGGGACTTTGCCGATTAACGCATGGACTGACGGGATGCAGGGGGGATTGGTATCCAAGGCGAGGACGACGCCTACGATTTCGGCACCGGGGCAGGCTTCTACGTCGATGCCAGTGCAGACCCATGGTCCAAGAACTACAAGATGTACTCGTACATCACCGACGAACTCCCCAAAACCGTGTTCGAGGCGTTCAAAGAGCAGATCGACTCCAGCAAAGTTAGTATCAGTGGACACAGTATGGGAGGCCATGGTGCTCTATCTCTATACCTGAAGAACCCGGGCAAATACAAGAGTGTCAGCGCCTTTGCCCCAATTGCCAATCCCTTGAAATGTCCCTGGGGCGAGAAGGCGTTCAAAGGGTATTTTGGTGACGACTGGCAAAAACTGGGAGCCCAACATGATTCGACAGAGTTACTGAAGCAGTGGAAAGGGGGACCTCTGGACATTTTGATCGATGTGGTATGTCGCTATGCTTGAGTGTGCTTGTCCACTGCTGACCGCCATAGGGAACTGGTGACAATTTCTATAAGCAGGGCCAGCTTCTCCCCGAAAACTTCATCGCAGCCGCAAAGGAAATTGGACAAGAGAACGGAGTCAAAGTCAGGTTTCAGCCAGACTATGACCACAGTTACTACACAATGGCCACTTTCTCGGATGATCACATTGACCATGCCGCGAAGTACTTGTTTGCTTAGTATGTTGATTGATTCACAAACACAATAGAAGCTGACAGGGATAGAAGCGGAATGAAAAAGAATCAGAAGCTTTGATTGTGCCAGCTATTCACTGTGAAGTCTAGTTCTGTATTCAATCCTTTCCTGTGGTGCTTCACACCTTGCCGTGCCATCTGCTTTCCTCTCTACCATCTCTATTAAAACCGCCACATCTTCACATTTCTCTCTCTCTCTCTCTCTGGCTTCCTTCTCCCAACTTTCAAATTGATCAGATTGCTGCCCCGACTTTCCCAAATAGCCGGTCCCCCAAAAGTGAAGCAGTACACGAACAGCGTTCATCCTCTCCCCTGCCATTACGCTTGATCGTCTCTGCTCTTTAGAGCCTCACACGACTCTCTTGCCATCCATTTCATATCTGCTCGCCCCGTCACGGCCGCCGAAATGGACCTGGACTACAGCTACCTCGGTGCGACAGACGGGGTGTGTTCGGCCTTTGACAAAAACGACAACTTTTGGCACGAGAAGACCGCGTTCGAATCCAAGCCCAATATCAAACTATCCCAGTCGTTGGACCACGGTGGCCACCCGACCTCCTGTCCTGCTCAAGTATGTGCTCCTCCCCCTTTTATCATTGTCACGTGACGAGGCTGAACTGTGACTGACGGATGGGGTGGTACGTTGTAGACCCAGTCAGCGACTAAGCCGCGATCAGAATGCCCAGGTCAAAAGAAACAGGCTACATGAAGAAAGAGTCGTCAGTTTCAACTGTGTGAATGTGAACAGTCCTTGGTGGCACCGTTGTCTTGGAACAGGTCAGACGACGTCGGAGGACGACAAATTCAATGAGGCGAGAAAACTGCAGAATGCCTTTGCCTTTGTGACCTTTCATCTGTCAGTGCATAAACACATGAGCTGGAGATTTTCACTCCCATACGCAATGTCAGAGATGAGGGCTCTCACATGGGGAAGGAGGTGGACTGTATGTGTCACCTCTCAGCTCGGATCAGATGGGATAGATAGACCACTCTTCGAAAACCTAGAGGTCAGGCAGACGCTGTAACAGGCCACGATTTCAAAGTTTTCTCGGCTGATCGCATGAGGCCCCACTCACAATAACGGACAGAAGACGCCCGATCTCCTCAAGTTCCTGAACTACCGAATTTTATCCATGCATGCACAGCAGCAGCAGCAGTAACCGGGAAGGTGGGGGAGGCAGTCGAAAAGAAATATATTATCACCGCGCTTAGTAGAGATAGCCTGGGTTATTTTGAAAGCTTCTTTTCGATGTGGTGTATGTTTCATGTTCTGTACCCGTCTTAAGTATTTATCTATTCCTGAAAGACCGGTGTCTCTATAATATTACCCCGTCTAATTGTAGACACATCACACATGGAACCTTTTACCTGTTCGCCAAACCGCTTGGCCAGGTAAAGAAAAAGGAGCTCCAAAACCTCGGAGAATAGACTCCCAAAACGCCCTTAGCCATTCAGATTGATTTTGTATGGGTTGGTGGAGTGATCATAAACAGTCTTCATGTATCGACCCGGCCATCCGTCCATCACCTCTTTTAGTTGTCTTCTGTATACGTCGACCGCCTCCTCCACTTCGCACCGTAGCGGAAGATGAGAACGGGAATCGGCGCGGTGGCAAGACTCAGCGCGCACAAGATGGTGAAGCCCCCGCCATACCCCACGGCCTTGACCAGGGGCTCGACGGCGAGGGGGAGAAACGTGCCCATCAGGCACCGCGTGACGATGAGCGCGGTCATGGCGCTGGCAGAGTACAGCTTGAAGGCGTCGACCACGTAGGCCATCAGCGGGATGAAGCCGAGCATCAGCGCGGCCCCGAGCAGGACGAGGACGAGGATCAAGACCGGGAGCGGCAGGCGGAGGTCGGCCGTCCACCCGTACAGCGCGACCATGAGGGGGAGCGTAAAACCGCCGACGATGGCCAGCGGGAGCCGGTACTCGGGCTGTCCCCCGACCGGCGAGCCTTTGTGGGTATCGCGCAGTCGGATGTAGATTCTGTCGAGGAAAAGGTTGCAAATGACGACGCTTACCAAGGAACCGACACCTAAAGGCATTGTTAGCAACTAGAAGGTAGCAGGAGAATCCCCAAAACGCAAGAAAACATCAAAATTTAGATTTGGGGAGAAAGGGAGACGGGGAATTAGGGAACGTACTGAAGCTGATGAACGTCGACCCCGTCAGGGCGGGTGAGAGGCCGTAGATCCCCTCCAGGATGTCGGGCAGCGTCGTCGACATGACGTAGAAGTAGGTATACACCATTGATCCGAAGACGGACATAGCCTGCAGGACGCCCGAGTCGAAGAAGACGACAAAGGGTCGCAGGATCGAGTCCCACAGCTTCGTGGACCCCTTCACGTTCGCCTCGGCGTCGTCCACGTCGACCGCCGTGCGAAGCGCGAGATTACCCGTCTCCTTCCTCAACCGGGCCACTCGGCGATTGAGGATGGCCACTTTGTACGTTTCGCGGAAACAGGTGAGGAAAGTCACCTCACAGGCGGTGGCCAAGATCACGCCCACCCAGAGGACCTGACGCCAGCCCAAGGTCTCGGCGATGGCGCCCGCGATGGCAGGACCGATGGCGCCTCCCAACAGGGGTGCCATCATGACGAGGCTCACGGCCGACCCGCGCTGTTCCGAGACGAACATGTCGCCGACAATGGCTGGGTTGAGCACATTCGAAGCCACCGCCACGCCCGTCAAGGCCCGTGCCGCGATGAAGAGCGGCGTGCTTTGGCACAATGCCGCCAGCACCGTGGCGGAGATGAACAGCACGTTGGCGACATTAAAGACTGGGTATCTCCCAAACGACTCCGACAGCGGTGCGAGCACGAGGGGGCCGAACGCCTCGCCAAGTTCCCATATCGTGACTAGCAGGACGCTGGCGGACTTGCTACTTGTGCCATTGAGATCGTGTACAATCCGGTTTGCAACGGGCACGACCGAGATGCAGGTGAAAGTCCTACCAATAAAGTCAGCCCATCTGGCAGGCTTTAAGTAGTTGAATAAGTACTAACACTGTAAATGCCATGAAGGCCAACAAAGCCACAATCCCCCATTTGTAGTGATTCGGCCAATCTCTGGGGTTTTCCGGGTCGCCGTTGGGGTCGAAATCAATGATGTCTGTTGGCTGAACGGTTTTGTCCGGGCGGTGCTCGGGGTGAACCGCATTTCGAAGCAATGGTTGGGTTTCGTCCATTGTCCTTGTATGAAATGTTGGTCGAGCAAATGGTGGTTCGCGGGATCTTAGTCTAGAGGATTGTGGGGGACTATATATGTAGCTTGTGCATGTAGATAAATAATGCTAAGGGTGCTAAGGTACAATTTTTCTTTCTCTTTCGTATAAAACCCGCAGGGCGGTGGCGGCAACGGAGTTGGAGGGGCAATATTAATCAATCAGCAGAAGTTTATGTAAGGTTGATCCCTCGGCACCAGATGGCGCCAACGGGGGGTAGCATGGGGCGTATTTTAGATTGAGAGCCTTCTATCATGTACGCGACCTGTCAAATATTTCATCCACCTAAGTCGAGAAGGGTCCATGAAGGCGAAAGGGCGTGAATTTGGCTTAGTAGGGTAAGAGTGGCATGCCCGTCGATAACCGAGGAATAATCGTCGATAAAGAAACATGAACCAATGAGTTGGGTTGGCCTCTGGTTGATTAAAAGCAGCCCCAGCTCACAGTATTAAGCCATGTTCAATCTTTGGATGTCCACCTATTCCTTTTGGATTGGGGGGACCCCAGCCTGGTGGCAAATGCGATATTGTACCATTGCTCAAGTATAGTAGATGTACGGGGAAATTTCTTTGCTTGTAAAGGAGTGATCTCTCGGCCAATTGACAACTCACCAGATCTCCATCTCTTCCCTCGACCTACTCGTTCGGCCACGTCCCAAGGTTTGGACTTGTAGGATCTGGCTTCGTTGAGGGTTTTATCTGGGAGCCGTACAGGCAAAGCGTCAAGACCAATGAACAGCCTTCATCCGGTAGTATCGAGGACAGCCTGAGTCTCTGGCAGCGATTGTAAAGGGTTTTGGGTCAACAAGACGTGCTTCGATCTTGACAAAGAGTGGCTGTCGGAGCCTCATCGTCTAGGGAACGGAATATTGTCTCATTGATCTTAGTCAGGGGGAAGAAAATAGAAGGATTTGAATATGTGCGTCGAGGTACGTCAAGGTGCGTCATTTGGCGGTTGGTGGCCGAGGGTCCCAGGTGCAGGCGGTGCAGGTGGTGCAGGTGGTTTGATGCCAAGGCCGGAAACATTTGGAGGGAGATTTCTCCGCCTCGAAAGATGCGGAATGAGGCACCAGTCGAATAATGGTGCCCGACGTTGTAACATTCTCTGCATTCTCTACTTTGCAGTAACCGAAATTCTAGAGACATCCACTACACCATCTGTTGATTTCGATTCATGCCTGCACCCATTTCTCACTGTCAATTCCTCAACAACGCTGGCTTTTCTCATGGACTAACTCTGGAAGCACGTGCTTCCACTTTCGTCACGTCCAAATGCGGTGACTATCTTCCTTGCCCAGTGTTCCTGAAGTCATAGCGCGGTGGGCGAGGAACACTGGTATTACGTGATGGACGAACAGGTTGGTCGTCTCTCACTAATCTCAGTGCTGTCGCTAACTGGTCCTCGAGATAATCTCGGCGATTCAAATCGCCTACGACCCCTCCGCGAACCCAGCCCTCAAACGACAGGCCTTTGACTATGTCAACCAGCTGAGACAAGAACCTTCAGCATGGCAACCATGTCTGGCCATCTCCTTACAAGTCCCCCGACAGCCCATGGTCATTCGAGTCTACTGCCTCGAGATCGTCAATAATGCAGTTCAAGGCGGCCTGGTGGACCAACAAGGCCTGAAAACCATTGAAGATCAGCTCATGACATATCTGCGGAAGTTCTACGGGGCACCAGGCCAGACAGACACACCAGACCCTGGCACAATCGTCAACAAGTTTGCTCAGACCGTGACATTCCTATTCTCAACCTTTTACGGCGCCGGATGGGAGACTTGCTTCGATGACTTATTGGCCCTTACTTCAACAGGTTCCGGCCCGAAAGACAATTACCCAGGTCTCATTTTCTATCTAACAGTTCTCAATGCCATTCACGATGAGATCGGAGATCAATTACTTTCCAGGTCTCGAGCCGAACAGGACAGGGCAAATACTTTAAAAGATTTGATTCGAGCTCGTGATGTACAAAAAATCGCTCGGTCGTGGGAGGAGATCTTGTCCCACTGGGGAACTTCCAATGACGTGGTGGCCGAGTTGTGCTTGAAGGCAATTGGGAAGTGGGTTAGCTGGGTCGACATCTCCTTTGTGGTGAACCAGTCGATGCTCGAACTGCTATTCCAGCAGCTGGAACGCGCCCAAAAAGTCGATCCTCGCAAGAGTGAGGAGCAAGCACGAGACGCCGCCATCGATGTCTTCACTGAGACCGTGGCAAAGAAGATGCCGTCCGCGGACAAAGTCAACATGATCACCTTTCTCAACCTTGAAACAGTCGTCTCGCAACTCGTCACTTGTCCGCCGCTGAGGGATAGCAGAGCCTCCAACTATGATGTCGATCTTGCTGAAACGGTTGCAAAACTGGTCAACACCACAACAGTG